AATTCCAGAACAGTCCTGCCTGATAAGGAGTTTATCAAGTACTTCTGCTGGAGGGGAAAATATTTCTGAACTCCAGGAACATTCAGCCAGACATCCTGGTTTGCAGATAATCTCCTCTATATAAGACTTAATTGCAAAGGCCGGGCGTTGTGTGCACGCCTGTAATCCCAGCACTTGGGAGGCTGAGGCAGGAGGATCGCTGTGAGTTCGAGACCAGCCTGGGCTACACAGTGAGTTCTAGGTCAGTCTCAACTACATAGTGAGACCCCGTCTCAAAAAAACCAAAAACCAAACAAAACAAAAAGACTTAATTGCAGAGTCAACATCATTTCCTATGTGTAGAACATCTTTTCGTCAGTTCCTAGCTAGAAAAAGAATCTACTGAAGAAAAATCTAGGCAAAGCTTTTGTTAAAATCTTCCATCCCAGCAGGTGTGATAATGCACGCCTGTATCCCAGTACTTGGGAGGCTGAGCCAGGAGAATCACTGCATTTCAACAGGAAGTTCAAAGCCATCCTGAAGTACAGGGAAAGAACCTGTCTAAAACTAAATAAAATTTTCTATCCTTGGTGCCATCACCTTAGCTATAGACCCTCCTTTTTTTTTTTTTTTTTTTTCCAACCTAGCTCTGCTTAGGGAGACATCTTGCTGTTGCCCTTGAATAGCAGAAGGGATAAACACACTGCCTTGGGCCGTGTCTCTCTCTCTCTCTCTCTCTCTCTCTCTCTCTCTCTCTCTCTCTCTGGTTTTGTATTAGTACACATTTGCAGTACATAATGATTGCACTCATGGGAAGCTGGTACATATGCTTAACAACTCTTAATTCTATACTCTTCCCTTCCTCTTCTCCTACCTCTCTCTATCTCTAAATGAATCTGTTTCTTTATCTTGGGATCAGGTTTCTGCCCTTAACCTTTTCATTTGAGCTAATTTATGGACTTGTCTTTAAGTCATTTTGGATGGGATGGACCTGGAAAAAAAGCATAAACAAGCTAGGGGAGTAAAATTGTAGAAGGCAGATATGCAGAACCTTGAGGAACTTTGGTTCTGGCATAAAGTCGCCCTCTTCTGAAAAGTAGTTTTTAAATTATAAGTTTCCTTGTCTCCTTTCTACCTATGTTTACATTTTCTATCCTACTTCAGGTGCACCAGGGTATTTTTCATAGTCAAAGCCTAGGTTTCATGAAGTACAGCTAGTATTTTTACCTGTAAGGATATGTATGTGTTGTCTAGTTGTACACTTCATCTCTCAGGCATGGCTCAAGCTTTCTAATCTTTTATTATTTTCATTATGGTCTGCATAGCATGGAATTATATACTGTGCACTTTGTTTCTGCTGCAGCCAGCCTTTCCAGGTTGTTGTTGTTTTGTACTGGGTATTGAACCCAGGCGTTCACTGAGCTATATCTATCCCAACCCTTTTTGTTTGTTTGTTTGTTTGCTTTTGGTACCGGGGATTGAACTCAGGTCCTTGCGCTTGCAAGGCAGGCCACCGAACCGCTGAGCTAAATCCCCAGCCCCCCCAACCCTTTTTTAAAACAGGGTCTCACTAAATTGCCCTAGCTCACCTCAAACTTCTCACTCTCCTACCTCAGCGTCCTAAGTAGCTGGATTTACAGCTGTGCACCATCACACTTGGCTCCAAAAAAAAAAAATTTTTTTTTACGAGGTGGAAGTGTAACAGTGTGGAACACTTGCCTAGCATGTGCAAGGCTTTGGTTTCAACCACCATGGGGGAGGAGGGGACATTAAATTTTATTCAAAGAATAGAGAGTTCTGCTGAAATAATCTACTCTATTGTCACTTCTAAAGTGAAATTAATGAAAAAAAAAATAAGATTGACCTTTACCTCACAATTTGTTTTTCTCCTCACATTTTTCATTTGGGTTGGGTATTTTTGTTTGTTTTCTGCTTTTTGAGACAGGATCTCCTTATGTATAGTTCAGGCTGCCTTGAACTCACAGTGATCCTCCCTGCCTCAGCCTCCTGAGTGCTGGGATCACACATGCATATGCCGCCACATCCAGCTTCATTTGGCTTGTTTTTTTTGTTTTGTTTTGTTTTTTGTACCAAGAATTGAAAAAAGGTAATATGAAAGTAGAAGAAAGACTATTACATAAGTGGAAGGGAAACAGGGTGGGAGAGGAAAAGGGAAGGTGTAATGGGGAAAATTTGGTCGAAGTATGTAAAAAAAATGTTCTGTATAATAATGTACATTAATAAAAATACAATCTTAAAAAAAAGAATTGAAATAGGGTGGGAGAGGAAAAGGGAAGGTGTAATGGGGAAAATTTGGTCGAAGTATGTAAAAAAAAATGTTCTGTATAATAATGTACATTAATAAAAATACAATCTTAAAAAAAAGAATTGAACTCAGTACCTTGTGCCTGCAAGGCAGGTGGTGGAACCACTGAGCTAAATCCCCAGCCCCATATGGCTTGTTTTAAAAAATATACTAGAAGCCGGGCATGGTGGCACATGCCTGTAATCCCAGCACTTGGGAGGCTGAGGCAGGAGGATTGCTATGAGTTCGAGATCAGCCTGAGCTACATAGTGAGTTCCATGTCAGTCTCAACGATATAGTGAGACCCTGTCTCAAAAAACAAAACAAAAAAATGTACTAGACATAGAATTAGATCATTGAGCATAATGTTATTCTCATTCTGGGTTGTACTAGAGTTGATTCAGCTTGTATCACATTGCGTGACACATAGCACTCATCTTATTCCACTTCTCCATACACATGCCTGATCCCAGCACTTGGGAGGCTGAGGCAGGAGGATTGCTATGAGTTCGAGATCAGCCTGAGCTACATAGTGAGTTCCATGTCAGTCTCAACGATATAGTGAGACCCTGTCTCAAAAAACAAAACAAAAAAATGTACTAGACATAGAATTAGATCATTGAGCATAATGTTATTCTCATTCTGGGTTGTACTAGAGTTGATTCAGCTTGTATCACATTGCGTGACACATAGCACTCATCTTATTCCACTTCTCCATCCCAAACTACATCCTCATTCTGCACCTGAAAGTCACATTTGAAGAGTAAATGCTCATCTGAGTCATGGTACATTGCCAGTGTTCTATAAATTCCGTCCTTTGTATGCCATTATGCAACAGCATAATGGACACACTAATCAATCTGTGTAGAAGTCTCCAAACAGACTCCTGGGTGAGAAGGACAGGGACATGCAGCCCTACTCTATTATTCCTAGGCAGGGGAAGGGGATTCTAGATGTAAGATTGGAAGAAAAGTATTCTCCATATTTGGGAAATGTGCATCAACTTCTTTATTTACTTTGTTGTTTAAAGACAGGGTCTCACTATGTGGTCCAGGCTGTCCTCAAACTCACAGTAATCATCTTGCCTCAGCCTCCCAAATGCTGGGATTACAGGCATGCACCTCCCATCTGACACCTGCCAGTCTAATGTGCATAAATTTAACTCAGTGCTAAATTACAGGAACTTTCCTCAGTAGGAGAAGTCTGGCCCTTTTCTTCACTCTATAAAATATCCAAAGAGTAAGAGAAATACCCTGCAGCAACCAAAGAGTAATATAAACTTGTAGCGGCCTCTGTCTGACTCTTCCTGCTTCCCAGGGACAAACTTTTGTTGTTGTTTAGACAGGATCTCACTGTGATGCTCAGGCTAGCTTCCAATTCTCAATCCTCCTGCCTCAGCCTTCCAAGTGCCGTTATTACCTGACCATGCCTGGTCAGAGGCAGGCATTCCCAGATCTTGTATCTATTTCTGCAGATCTGCTTCTGACAGAATGAACAATTGACTAAAAATGTGGAGGGGTATAGGGATGGAGAGAAGTGCTTAGGAAATGAATCTGCATTTCCCTTAATCCATAAGGAGAAAAGCTCTGAAGTTCCTGTTGTTTTTGTCCTAGTCAGTTTGCTGCCCAGAGCTCCAAGCGGTGGACAGGAACAGATGGCGAGGCTCCATAGTGGTACTGGGCTGGGGTGGGGACGCTGCCTGCCAAGAGCAAACCAATCATCATACTCTCTGCCCCAAATTAATTTTTGCAACCACTTGTGGCTCTGGCAGGATTCCAGGAAGCATCCCCAATGCAAGCTGCCCTGTAATTCATTGCCCAATAATTTGAAAACAGTCAGAAGACCCAGGAGGCCAAGCGCTTCCACTAGAGGGAGCGCTACCAATTCTGTGCAGCCAGGAGCCTCCTAAGGTCGCTCCTCAACACCTGTCTGAGGATAACCACATGGAAGAGAGGGGGAGTGAGACAAAAGATTAAGCACTACAGGAGAAAACAACCTTGTAAGTACCCAGCTATAACCCAGGACTTTCAGGAATCACAAAATCAAAGATTTAAAGACCAAGAAACAGAGACGGAGCCAAATTAACTAGCTTGCCCAAATTCACACACTCGAAGAGGGAGCTCATCTCAGCTCTCAGCTATAACCAGTCCTTTCCTGACATCTGCATTCCACTGGGTTAGCCCTGTGGACTCCACAGGTCCACTTCTCCGTTCTCACTTAACTGAAATGGAACATTCTTTTCGCTATCTACTCCTGCATTTGTTTCCCTTATATACCGCACAATGCTTTTCTGAAGGGCTCTTCAGTTTTAAGCCTAATAATGTCATCTTGCTAAGGGGATCCCAGGATGTAAACTGCCCAAGATAGCTCCCGTCAGTCCTTTTCCTGCAATAGCACCAACCTGTTATCTCAGATGCCAATTGCAGCAGTGCCTACCTGGAAGTGAGTCATAGCTAATCAGCAATAATGCATTTTCTCTCCAAACTATACTTAGAACTTGGGGATAAGGGGAGAACTGACCCTCCAGGACCTTCCTATTTGGTGAGCTGATTTGCCCATTGCACCTTCCTGCAAACTCCGAGTTTCGCAGTTGCGTGGACAACAGGCAGTCTCCAGAAACTCAGCCCTCCAGTCTCAGTCCTGCCCCCGGAATTTTGCCGTTCTGGATTGGCTCCCAGGGCTAGGCTCCTCCTCAGGCTCCACCTGCTTGGGCTCACAACGCTTCCCTGTGGGTGAAGCGCTCCATAGAGATACGCCTCACTAAAAGAGGCAGAGACAGAGACAGAATCTGACAGGTAGGAAGAGGGGGTGAGGGTGATGGGTAGAGGGAGACTTTCTCTAAAAGAGGGATGAGAGAGTGACTTCTGTACATAGAGCCACCCTGCCTCTGACCCGAGCCCCACCCACGGTTCCCAGGAGACCAAGCACTTCCGGAAAGTGTGAGGCAGGTTTGAAGACTAGAGTGTGCCTCTCCTGAGACTCCTAATTCCTTCCAGGTATCAGGAAAGCATCCCTGCATCTAGCCCTACACACCAAGTCCTTCTTCCCCCAGGACATGCCACCTAAGACCAAAGGAAAAAAGAGAAAAACTGGGGAATGGAAGAAAAAAAAGAACTCGGATGCTGGTGAGTGGCGGTGGGAAATAGTGCCCCTGCTCCTCCATGTCCTGGTGTGGAGACCACACAGGGGTCCTCAGAGAGCATTCAGCCCTCTTCATGACAAGGTGGAGTTTTCTTGTCCTCATCGTAGCCTTGAACCCAGATTCCACAAAGCTGAGCAACTGAAGAAATGCCACCCACACTCCCCCTGGAGTCCTTCCCAGCTCTGTGCCTCCCTAATACCTGTTACCTATATGGGCTAAGCAATGAGGACACAGCAGTGAAGTCAGCAGACTTTGTCATCAGGGATCCCTCATTTATGGGTCCTCTGACCTCACACAGCAGCAAGCCCAGGGGGTAGAACTGATTGAGATCATGGTAAACTAAAGTTCTACCAATTTGCCAGGACAGATGTGGAGGCCGAGGCCAAGCACAGGCTGGTGCTTCTGGAGAAGGAGCTGCTCCAAGACCACTTGGGTGAGAAGGGTAAATACTGGGGGCATAAGGGCTGGGGATTTAGCTCAGTGGTTCCAGAGCCTGCCTGGCAAATGCAAGGACGCGAGTTCCATCCCCGGTACCAAAAAAAAAAAAAAACTGGGGGCATCAGAAGTGGCACATGGGGCATTTCCTTGTCCTTGTGGGGGGCATAGTTGAATAATTGGAGCCATGTGTGAGGCTCAGACAAAATCTAACCATCATGAGTGGGAAAAGGCTGTGAGAGAGGGCTGGGCAATAAGGGCTGATGAAGAAAGATACACCCTCCCCTGTCCTGGAGATGGAACCCAGGGCTTCACAAACGGTAGGCAAGGACTTTACCACTGAGCTATATCCCCAGTCCTTTTCTCTTTTTCAGACAGAGTCTTGAAGTTTCCCAGGCTGGCCTTTGACTTGCACTCCTCCTGCCTAAATCTCTCAAGTAGCTAAGATTATAGGCAGGAAAGTACTTTTTTTGTTTTTTGCATTTTTGGTACCATGGATTGAACTCAGGACCTTGTATTTGCAAGGCAGGCACAGCACCACTGAGCTAAATCCCCAGCCCCAAGAAAGTATTTTTTTTTTTAACCAAAGCACAGGGGGAGTTTTTACTTCTTTTAATGAACAGCCCATTTGGGATTGGGGGAGGCTAAATAGAATAAGAGGCTGCATACCCTGCTACCAGGTTTCCAGAGGTGGGCAGAGTTCATCAAGCCCACGGGGTCTGATTCTGTGTGACCCATAGCCAGTTCTGAGGGTGGCTTTGAACTATTCACAGCTATATGGAAGGATGAGGCTCGCCGAGCCAAAGCGTCTGAAAACCAGCTGAAGCAGAGGTTGCAAGGATTGGCAGCTGAACTGGAAGGGGCCCGAAGTGAAGGGAAGGCCATATTCGCAGGTGCGTGGTCAGTCAAGCAGTGAACAAAAGACAGGTGGAAAAGGACAACCATGAGGCCCAAGGATGCAGGAAGATTACGCATGGAGAGCTCTGGCTACCAGGCCTCCTCTCAGCAGTCCCTGCACAGGCAGGATCTAGAAAGATCCAAAAGCACATCTCTGGCATCCAGACAGGGACCTTCCCGAATGCCTGTTGTCATGTGCTTGATGCTTTGTGGGAAACAAAAGGCCGTCGCAGGTGTTATGTCATTCATCCCATGAGTGGGAAGAAGGGTTAGAATCTCCATCCTAACCTGGTGTATGGTTCAGGGTCTCCCAGCTTCACAGCATCATCACAAGAAGGACCAAGAAGTCCCTGTACTTCAGTCCTCCCCACCTACAACCTCATTTCCTTTCTCTGTGCTTCCATCCCCCCTGGGTCTCTCTCTGGCCACTGCCCCACTTCAGAGATGAACCGCCAGCACCGCGCCCTGCAGGTAGAGATGGAGGCCCGCAGCAAACACCTGGAGGGGGAAGTGAGGAGCCTTCAGGAGCAGCTAGGTGAGTTCCCCTACCCTTCCATTCAGAAGGTCACCAACGAGGTCCAGTGTGAAAGGGTGGTTATAGAGGTCTTTCTCTAGGTCGCCATCTGTTGGCTGAATGTGATTTTGGATCACTTCCTCTCCTTTTTCCTGAAATATCATCCTGAGATATAAGTTAGAAAAGCTAGGTCTTTCACCTGTGTCCCCTTTTGCTTGGTCTTTCCAAATCCAGTGCTTACTCCCCTCCCTGCTTTGTCTCTTCCAAGCAAAAAAACTAAGGGAAAACGTTAGACTCACTTACTTCTATTCCTTCAAGGCCTAACACCCGGAAAATCCTAAATAACTACTTACTAAATAAATGAATAACCCTCCAAATAAGCAGAAATATAAAAAACAAGAAGCCTTTGTTTCTTCTTCCTCTTGCTTACAGAAAAGTTGAAATATCTTAGCATGGCATAAGAGAAGTTTCATAATTTTGGCCTCAGAGTGTTCTTCTCCTAAAATATCTTTAGTAACTTTTTTTTTTTTTTTCAGAACCAAGGATCAAACTCAGGACCTTGTGCTTGGCAGGCATGCTGGTACCACTGAGCTAAACCTCTAGCCCTGTAATAGCTCTTTATCTGCTATGCAGACCCTGGGTTCTTCCCTGACCTTTGCCTTATTTCAAATCAACATTTATTGAACACTTCCTGTATACCAGACATTTTTCCATCCATTTTCACATTTAAGAATCACAACAGGACCAGGGATTTAACTGAGTGGTGCTGCTGCCTGCCTTGCAAGCACAATGTCTTGAGTTCGACCCCTGTACAAAAAAAAAAAAAGAATCACAACAAGCAGGATATGTATTATTTTTCTCTTTAAAGATGAAGAAACTAGGCCAGAGATTTAGCTCAGTGGTTCTGCTGCCTGCCTAGTAAGCACAAGGACCTGAGTTCCATCTCCTATGTCCCAGATTACATGAGTTGTAAATGACAACCAAACTTTGGACCGGTCTCCGGTTTTAAGCCCACTACTGTATACCCCAATATGTCTTCAGCTTTTTGTTTTGTTTTTGTTTTTGAGACAGGATCTCACTATGTAGTTCAGACTGGCTTTGAACTCACTGTGTAGCCTAGGCTGGCTCATGGTGATCCTCTGCCTTAGCTTCCCAAGTGCTGGGATTACAGGTGTGCACCACGACACACATTGGGTCTTCAGCTTTTTGCAGACTATAGGAAAGTTGATGAGCCTGAGGGAGTCAGGAATGATCCCACTTATGATGCCTTTATAGGTACCTTTGGGGACTGTCCAGAGGTAGAGTGTCCCCATCCTGTCCTCTTTGATCTTTCTGCCTTGCCCCCAGAAACCTGCCAGAGAGAGGCTGAGGCTTCAAGGAAAGAGGCTGAGCAAGCCCTTGGAGAGAAAGACCGGACGCTGGCTCAGCTTCGGGCCCATGTGACAGAAATGGAGACCAAATATGAGGAAATCTTAGATGTAAGCACCACTCCCGAGCCCCATCCACCCAGGACTCTGCCCTCCTCCATCCTCATGTCCCATAGCTTGTGTGACGACTGATGGATGACCCAAAGGAAGGGTCTCCAAGGGTACCTTGCTGTATGCCAAGTGCAGATGGAGGGGGACATACCAGGCCTGTTGGTTCAGATAAGATGTTTGCAGGGCAGCCTGGACCTGCTCTTGGCCAAGCTGCGAGCCATCAAGCCTCAGTGGGATGAGACCGCACTGAGACTCCACACCAGGCACAAGGAGCTGCTGTGCCAGTTTGGCCTCAACCCCCTGGATCTTTGAGGCTGCTGACCTTTAGTTTCCAAGGCCCAGCAATAAAGTATGTTGATGTAGAACTCACCAGAGCTATGGGCTTAGCCTTTGGTAGGGAGGCAGCATACTTCTGTTCTGAGTTGACCCAAAGCCTGAGTGACAGGAGAGAAATCTGACAGATGAGGTCTCAACTCCTCTTCTACAGAAACTGGATCCCATCCCTTGAGCCCAGGTCCTTTTTGATACCTTCAAACTACCTTTGCCCTTTCTCCAAAAAAACACAGACAGCAAGAATTACAAGAAAAGGCCATTCCTATAACTGGACACAGTAGTAAGTAGGCACCCACCCTTACAATTCTCAGGTGTCCACAAGGGAGGGTATAACTAGTCTCTAAATTCTTGTATTACACCAGAGTCAGACGTAGGCCACCTTCCAAATAGTTTTAATCCTTGCCAGCCCCACAGCGCCCCTCCTCAGAATTCATCCTGGTGTGCAGCTCCACAGCATTCCCTGGAGCCTCAAGCCTCTTCATGAGCTTTCTTCACATGGCCTCTGAACACATTTTCATCTGGAAGGGAGCCCATGGGAGAGGCGGGAGTTCTGGGCAGTCCTGTGGGTGAGGCCTCGGAGTCTTCCAGCTCCCACTCTGAGCAGAATGGAGACAGGAAATCCGCTAGGTAGATCTGTGCTGTTCTACAGCAGATCTGAGGCCAGAGCCCCATCCTACACAGAGAGAGGAATGTTGTTCCCAGAGCACGAGTTCCCTTTCCTGCCCCAACCTGTCCTGATGTGTCCAGAAGTAGGACTTACTCCATGAGTCCTACCTCACGTGACCTGATGTCCCCACCTGCAACTTCACACAGTCCTCCCAATCTGCCCTTTTCATTGGCTTGTCTTTGCCCTCTGGTTGTTCACAGCTCTGTCTCTTCTTCCTCACCTCTCCACACCCTGGGGGAATCCAGGCTTCCAAGCCCTCCTGAGACCTGGCTGCCAGCGTCAGGCAGAGGGGTGGCTCAGCTTCAGCCAGCTGCTGAAGCCTTTCCAGGTCACTGTCACCACCCACAGGATACCCGTTCACCTCCAGAATCACGTCTCCCATTTGCAGCCCTGCCCGGGCAGCTGAGCCTCCTGGGGTCACCTATGGGTACAAGGGGATCTGTAGAACATGCGACAGCATGGAGAAGTTTGGTGGGTGTTCTAAGCCTCTGGGAGGGAGGCAAAAGTAGGCTGATGGGTAGGTAAAGATGGAAAAAATCCAAGGTCCATAGGGCATCAGTCACCTGAGAGATGAAGAGACTAGACCCACTGGTCACACAGCTGAGTCGGAAGCCATAGCCACCACCAGGCCCAGGGTACAGGAAGCGCTGGCAGGAGCCAGGAGGACCAGGAGACCCAGCTTTGTGCTCCACTGGTTGGTTCTCAGACTCAACTGGAGAGGTCAAGTCGGTGGCCTGGGGCAAGGCAGCAACCTCGGTGCTCTCCAAGAAGAGGAGCGGAGACAGGCGAACCTGAGGTGCCAAGGGAGCAAACCTGTGGCACTTGAGCCCTGCTCCATTCCTGCCCATTCCCTAGCCCTGTCCCTCAGCACCCACCATGTTAAAGAAGCGGTCAGCCTCGGGGTCAACGACAATGAGGGAAACACGTGAGCCCTGCTCCCGGATCCTGGTTACTGTCTCCCCATGGCCCAGCTTCTCCACACTCTCCCCAGCCACAGCCACAAGTCGGTCCCCTACTCGCATCCCGGCCTTCTCAGCCGGCAGTCCTGGGTCCACCTCCCGAAGGAAATGCCCTGGGACAGATATTGTCACTACTCCTCCCCGATTCACCCGTGTTGTCCCAGGTCACCAGATTCACACCGGGGAAACACAGGAGAAGGAGGCTGGGATCTGGGGCTTAGAGAGGGACTCCTCTTTTGTGCCCAAAGAAGCATGCAGGTACACTTGTGTGCCCACTCTAAGGCCCATATCCCCTACCCACCCCCAGGGCTCCCACTCACCAAGGCGGCCATCAATGCCCTTCTCCTCCCGGAGCAGGAACCCAAAGCCCTTGGGCCCCTTCTCCAGGTGTAGACTACGTGGCTTCACAGGCAGTGCCCAGCCCTGTGCCAGGGGTGCAGCTAGGGGCATTCCCAGCTGGCGACACTGATCCTCCACCTCTGGCCCTGCCACCAGCAGAGTCACCTGCTTTCCACTCTGCCAAAGCTGTGGGGACCCAGTGGGGCACCAATATCAGCCATCTGGATAGGAATGGAAGAGGCAGGCACCTCTTCACAGCCCCTCCTCCCAGGCACAAAAATGAGGCACTAAAGAGAGGGCCTGGCATAAACTGGAGAGGAACCCAGACCACCAGGTGAGGAAGTTAGGTACTTGCAAAGGAGTCAGAGAAGTCAGCTGCCTGCTGTGGGCCCCACTCGATGGGTAGAGGGTGTAGGGAACTGGCTGCAGTCCTGTACCTTCCTGCTGAGCTGGTAATGAGTGAGCTTCTCCACACTGACTCCATTCACTTCCAGCAGCCGGGCCCCAGGGGGCACCCCTGCCCGTTCAGCTGCTCCTCCTGCACTCAGCACCAGCCAGAAAGGACCCTGAGCTCCTGAATCCAAAAATGAAAAACCGCAACTTCCAGTCTGCCACCTGCCCAGAACAGGAGCTTCAATCCTCTTCCTGACCATGGCCCTCAGCCTCTAAGCTCACCATGGGTGACACTGAAGCCAAAGCCACCCTCATCTTTCACTACGTGGCACAGCCGGGGCCGGACACCTGAGCCTAGGACAGGACAGAGGTGGGCTTCGTTTCCCTGCTGAGCTCGGAGCGCATCATAGACATGCCTCGCCAAGACTGTCAGCAACACCCGGGGACCACTGGCCCGGATGTGACGCACCACCTAAACAGAGGCATGTGGGATGAGAAGAGGTGTTCCCCTTGACGGTTCCCAGGACTTCCCTGGAAGTTGCATTTGCACTGTGGAAACCAGCTCTCTAATGCCTCTACCCAACCCTTCCTACCTGGATATCCCAAAATCCTGGGGTGTGGGAGGATGAAGGATAGTGCCAGAGAGCTGGCTGACCAGCTTCCCTCCCTGATGTGGTGTGGAACTTCCCCCGTACCACAGGGAGGCCCAGCCCAGGCTCACCACCACATAGTCCTCGTGCTCCACGACATTGTTATTCACTGCCAGAATCTGATCTCCTTCCTGGAGACCTTGGCGGTGGGCAGAGGTGCCTGGCTCCACCCTGCACACCACATGCCCAGCCCTGCCCAGCTGCTGCTGAAGGTGAAAACCAAAACTCCTGCCTTCCTCTTTGCTCAGCAGACAGAAGCGAGGCCGCTGCAAGTTCCAGGGATCTGGAGGGGGAGGTAGGCAGGAGGAAAGAGGGAGAGGAGGGGGCACAGCCCAGGTACAGGTCCATTACATGGCCGGCAGCTACTGCCTCCTGCCAAGGTACCCCTCTACCCAGAGAGAGGTTGGACAATGTGACTAACATTTCGTGGGCAGGGTGCCTAGGACAGAGAAAGCACTGCCCCTCACCCTGCCTCTGCGTAGTTACCAATATCAGAAAGAGACAGTGAGTGGTTACCAAGGAGATGAGAGGCTGTGTGGAGCTGTGGCATCTCCAGGGAAAGGCAGTGGTTGTCAGGGGCAAGAGAGAGGGTTACCAGAGCAATTGTAGTCTTCAGCCAGGGAGAGGACCGGATTGTCAATGCCCAACTTTGGGTTAAATTTAAACTTCCTGCAAGGAGGAGGCAGGAAAGGTAAGAGAAGCTGGCAGCTGGATTTGGGTCGCAGGCTCTATCTTAGGTGTTAATGACACTGAAGAGCCACCCTACCCTCAGTTTCTTCCCCCCCTTTCCCCAACAATTGTGCCACTTACAGAGTTAATGATGTCATGTCCCGAAGATCTACTGGAAAAAGAAGTGGGTGAAAGGAAAGGCAATTCCCCTCTCACGTACACACACCTCTTCTATGGACATGAACTGAGAGGACTTGAGGAACCCTACACCCAATTCTTGCCCCCTCGCTTCTGCTCTAAAAGGGTCTTCCCTTTTCACTACTGTCATACAAACAGGGCTGTTGTGTCTTCCCCTCCCCTTCCCTCCAAGGCCTGACTCATAAATCTGAGCATATCAGTGCAGGGCGTGGACCAGGTAGACAGAATTGTCAACTAATTTCTTTTCTCCTAACTTCTGTGTGTTTGCCTCTGGGCTCCAAGCCTCAGCATCAAGTGTCCACTAACCCCAAAGCCACCTGATCTTCCCACCAACCCCAACTGCCCTAAGTGCCCTCCAGAGAATATCTCCCAGCCTCCTACCTGCAGCTGCCTCCATAGTTGGATCAGTGACCCAGTGCTCAGACAAGGGACAAGGTCCATTGTAACCAGCTGACCCTCCCACCTACCCCCTCTCAAGTCCCGCCTCCTTGAAGACGCTGCCTTGGAACTTACAAGGTAATGGTTAACATCGATGAGTCTTATCCTCTGGGGAAGTGTGTGTGTTCCTCCTGCCCATTCTTGGGCCCCAACTTTCTCCAGAGATCCTGTAGTAAACTCTGTAGCCCCTTGGCATATAGAAAGGCAGATTGCCAGCCCAGGGGAAGAGGGAAGGATGAGAAGGGAGATAGGAGTTTTATGGCCCAGCATGGCCAACCCCCATCACAGGATCTTGTATATGGGCCCTTCCCCAGCCCCTGCAGCCTCTGAACCTAGTGTCCAGGAACCACTTCCAACAGAAGTGGTCAGCAGGTTAATCAAAATGACCAAGAACCCAGAACAGTGCCCTTTCTTGGAAGCATCAAATAAGTAAGCAGAGGAATGATAGGTGGAAGACACACAACTTTTTAATAGCAATTTGGGTGCACCTGCCCATGGAGGCCACAGAGTCATCAGTGTGAGTGTGGTGCAGGGAACATGAGGGCCAGGGAAAGCACCAGTATGAGGGCATCCTCAGGTCAGAATAAAGCAGGAGCGAAGGCCCTGGCATGGCAGACTGAGAAGTGTGCCTCTCAGAGGCACGATCAGAGGCTCCTTAAGTGGAAGGAGAGGCAAGATGAGTGGTGGTGCTACACAGCAATGTGGCCACCCAATGCCACATCCTTAGTCCTTCGGGCCAACGGGAGAAGAGGCATGGCGCATCTCTAAGACCAAGCATCAATTCACTATCTCTGACTCTGACTTGGGAAATTCCAGCCCTGAGGGACATGAGCCAGGGGAGAAGTGGCACAGCTGTGCCCACTGCTTTGCCTCCAGCATTATATATGCCTTTCTACATATAATATATAAT